TTGGTTTTGTCTACATGGGCAAATGTAAAAGTCCGTAATGCTCTGCTGGTGAAAGCAACAGGAGATGCTGTAGGTGAGATTTATTTTTCCACAGGTCATCTCTGTTGGCTCCTGACAAGTGCTGAAAATTCATTCGTTCTCTCTACAGTGTAATTTCCATGGTTGCGTTCACCAGCAAAGCTGCAGTGGTCAGGATGGAAGGCCTGAGTCCTTATTCCCCTGGCGAAGCTGCCTGCCTGCAGTTCATGGTTCTGTTCCTGCTCTGCACTGGGGCTTCGTCTCCCCTCGTGTACGCTCAGTCAAGCAATGCCCATGAGTCGCACAAAAAAATTGTCTGGAACCAGTGGAAGCAACCCACGGATTTGTCCAAATTAACCGAAATTTCTAGGAAAACTCGCTGACCAGCTCTGCCCCGAAGTGGAGCTTTCTGATAACAGAGCCTGCTCGAGCTGTAATTCAGTATGAAATACGCTCAGCTGGTGTCTCAGTGTGAAGCTTCAGTCTATTTCATTTCTAACTCCTGTTATGCTGAAATTCCCACAGATTCTTTTGAAATTAATTTAGTTTGGTTTAGTGGCTTGGGTGGGGGTTTTTTTGCCTTTTTTTTTAATTCTGTCTGTTCTGCCTTTGGGAGCTAGCAGGCACAGCGGATGCTGGCGGGAGTCACACTATCACACTCCATTCCCTGTCATAAGTGCTCTCACAGCCTCACGTCTTCCCACGCAGCATCCTTTTTCACCCATGCACACACAAAGGAACATGAGCTCCGTGTCCTCCTCATGTGAACACATTGATTTTTCCTTCCTGAAGAGGCTGTATCTGCGACCAACAGTGATATCATTTGCACTTTTCTCACTTAAGATTTTATCAATAATATTACGCTGAGCTGGAATTGTTTGGTTTTCATATTTAGGTTTTTTTCCAGAGATGGGAGTTGATTCTTACACATGAGCTCTGTCCATATCTGTAGTATAATCATGTACTCCTAATACATAAAACATTTGATAGCCTGTTGAATTATTTATGTAGTATGTATTTTAACTGGAGTTTTGCAGGGATGAAGCCTTCTGAGGTAAATGAGGCAATTTTCTTCCATGTAGTTACACGGTGCATATCTCTGCATGTTTGCTTACAGGAGTGTTTAGTATGGGCTCTGGGTATGTTCTTGTAGGCTGCAATAATGTACAGGTTTAAGAAAAACCTTGATCCTTTTGGCCTAGTTGGTGTAAACCACGCAGGCAATTTTGACATTCCGATGCAGTATTTACAGGGTTTTCCCTTGGGAATAATCGCTATCAGTGAGGTGCTTTTCACACTGACTCTTATCTCCTGTAGGCTTCCTGTGAATGAGGTATTTAGGCACAAAACAAAGGCAGCAATGATAAAAATGCCCCGGGGATCCTAGGCAGTGGGTGACAAAGCCTTTTGCTTTTATGGTTACTGCTTTAAACCGAGCAAGGGAAAGTCAACTGCCTTCTGATAGATTTCTGGGGGTCACGGTAATATGGATTACTGAAGTTGATTTCATGAGCTCTGGTGCAGAGTGTCTGCATTGCAGAAGCCACAAAAGTTGGTACTTTTGCTGATCGTTTCAGTAACACTGATTATGGAGGGGGTATTGAATTTTCTCTTCCTGTTGGGTCTGTGTCCAGCTGTAATGCTGAGCACAGACATTAGCTGGCGTTGGCAGAGGGCTTGGCCCTTCCAGAGCTCGTAGCCCAAGATCCCCAGGCAGCGGCCCAGTGGGTATTAGCCCAAGGCAAGGAAAAAAGCAAAACATTGACACTATTGCTCTCTCTTAAAAAAACAAAACAAAATGGTGATGATCGTGTCTTTGCTGCGGTCTTCTTCTCTCCTCGCAGGTGGTCTGCAGATTGAAAGCAGCGAGGAGACAGACCAGGGGAAGTATGAATGTGTCGCCAGCAACAGCGCCGGGGTGCGCTACTCCTCCCCTGCTAACCTTTACGTGAGAGGTAGGGAGCGCATCGGCTCACAACACTGGCACATATCTCCCTCCCCGTGGCCTTCCTTTGTCCCCAGCTGTTTGATTCGATCCTGTCCCTGAGCGCAGGGGAAGCACTGGTGTTAATCGGTTGGATCCTTACGGTGCGCTGCTGGGGGATCCTGGTGCACCCTGACTTCCTCACCGTTGCTGGTGGCTCCAGCTACCGCACCAGAGTTGCAGAGCAGCGAGACCAGGCTGTGTCACCCGCAGCAAAGTCAGGTGTGGCCCAAAATAGCGTGCCCAAGAATCTGCCAGCGTCAGCCCGCAGAGCCCAGAGGGGAATGAACAGCTTTGGCTGCAAAGAGGCCGTAATCCCCTTTTCTCCTGAAGGACCCCTGCTCTCTGGATATGGGAGAAGGTTTCAGTTCCACTGGTGTGGGTGTGAGAGGAGGGGAGGACCCTCTCAGCCCCCTCCACTGAGCTCTCTGTCCCCCAGATCTTAGCAGATTGCGACAGGAGGGTGCCTTCTCACTTCTCGTCTAAGTCCCAGCTGGTTTTCCCTTTGCCAGCAGTAATTTGTCACTGGTTCCTTGGGCATTAATGCTGCCCGTGGGCACAGACTCACAGAAAGCTGGAGACGGCCAGCAGACATCTCTGCCACAGTGACAGATTCCTTCACCCATGTAGCGTGGGGAACAGATGACAGGGGGATTGGCTTCTGCTTGATGCCCCCTTGATGTTCTCACACCCAGTGGGGCAAGAGCCTTTCTGCTTTCTTTGCTGATTTATTTTAATCTCTCTGACCTGTAATATTTTGTGTGTAGCTTTGGTTTAATATCTTTCCACAGCAAAACCCTTTTGGTAATGAGAAAGCAGGGCTGGTCCTTCTCGCTTTTTTAAAAAAAAAAAAGAAAAACACCATTGGGAGGAAAAAAGAAAAGTTACATCCCAGCAAACTGTTCCCATTTCCATCCCATCGACAGAGGAAGCGCCTCCCACCTACACTCACGTTAACTCTGCAGTCAAATGCAGAGCCATGCTCCTGTGTGACTCCTTTCTCTCTCTCTTTCTCTCTCTCTCGTGTCTCACGCTCACTAAATCACATGCACATGGAGAGAAGGCTTTTAATAATTTAATGTTTCCAAGCTAAATTTTTAAATAGCCTTTTGTGGCCAGCTGGAAAATTGCGTTTGGAATTTGCCCTGACGTCTGGGCATGAAATTCTTCTTTTGGGAACGTAAATCTGGATCTGATGCTAATTCAGGGTTAAATCCTTTGCAGACAGCTTAGCTGGAATGTTTTGGGTTCTTTAAAAAAAAAAAAAAAAAAAAAGAAGAAAAAAAGAACCAGGAAAAAATGTGGGGATTTTTCATTATTCTTTTATTTATAAATTTCCTCTACCACTTTCTGGCCACTCGGAAACTACCCAGGAGACAAAGGTTGTAACCGTGGAGTTGCTTGTCTCCGCACCTGGAGAAGAGTCGGCTCCAGGTGGATAGCCCTCTTTCTATCCAAGTTAGCCTGTGTGTACCTGAGGCCTGCCTGAAAAACAAAGCCAGCATTAGCCGGCCGAGAGAGTGCAGAAAACGCCGTGTAAGCAAGCTCGGCCTGTGGTTTGGGTGTTTTTCATGCTGTTTAATTCCTTGTTTCTTGTGTGTTAATATCGTGGAAAGGTAACAAATTTCTGAAATGGATTTGCTTTGGTGGGAGGGAAAGTTCATGCACATTTTGCTTCCCGTTTTTTGTTTTAAAAGAGTCTTGAACACTCTTGTGTTTCCAATTGACTTGTTTCTCCCATAACATGCTTGTCTCTATAGAACACCTGGGATAGGAGTTGTAAGTTTTAACATTGCAAGGAAATGTTTTGATTTTGTTTTGCTTTTCTTTTCTTCTTCTAATTATTTCTTTTTCCTTATTCAGTCCCATTGTGGAGTTAGAGCAAGCAGAGCCGGGTGTGGGGGCTGGTGGGAGCACGGGCTGGGGGAGCGGATTTCCAGCTTGGGATCTCCTTTGTACCGGGTCTTCTCTGCCCGGTACAGGTTCCGCTCCCCCTTCTCTAAAGAGCAGACGCGCTTAAAGAAGTGAGAACTCCTTGCTGGGGTTGGCACCTCTCTCGGGTGCTGATTCTGAATCAGGGTTGCTCACAGTACAGAGCCTGGTTGTTCTCCAACCAAAGGTACCTAGCTGGACGGGAGGGGGAAGGTCAGGAAGGCAGGAAAGAGGGTCGTTACTATCTTCATTTTTTTTCCTTTCTTTTTATTTTGGTTAAGAGAAAAAAAAAAAACAATCAATTTGCAGCTGACAGCCTTGAGAAGGCCTTTTTTTACTCTCTCTGTGTTTCCCCTATTTTTCTCTTCTCCTCATGTCATTGTGTTCCGCATCAAACCCCCTTAACATCCCTCAGAGCTACGAGAAGGTTGGTGTGGTTTTTTTCTTTTTTACTTTCTTTACCCACATTTTTACATTCTTAAGAGAAAAAAAATTAAAAAAAAAAAATAAAACAATAAAAAAGAGAAAAAGCAAGAAATCTTTAAGATGAGCGAGACCCGCCCGTTCCCGGGTCTCGCAGAGATGAGTTGAGTTGCATTGTGGGCCTCTCTATGCATCCTTTGGTAATGTTGCTGAGTTCTTGCACTTTTTTGTCGTCATGGTTACCTTGCCGTTTGGACATTGGGCCTGATGCATGATAGGAGAATGTAACAATCTTCTTTGCATGCCACTTTTTAAATTAATTATGAATTATTTTTTCTCTATATAAATATGTATAGTTTTTTTTTACGATTTGGTTTATTTGAAGTGGATTTACTCTTACTTTCTAAATTTTGTGTTCTGTTGGGTTTTTTGCTTTCTCTTGATTTCCTCTTTTAGTTTTGATTGGTTATGCTGTGCTGTAGTTTATTCCAAACGCATTGTGAGAAGCCAGTGTTCCTGCCCACCCGGTGGTAACTGAACTCCTCAATCCCTCCAGGAGGAAAGGAGTCACACAGCTCTAACGCCTGTCCATGGAAGCCCTGCTATTTGGGTCCAGCCTTTGTTTTGGGGGGAGGGAGGGATCTGGGAAGTGGAAAAGATGGTAACAAACCCAGGGTGTCGTTCCAAGAGTTAGAGCAGACCCTGGGTCACGTTATTACTTACGTATTTCTTGGAGGTGTGGCTCTTGTTCCACATCCTGCAAAGAAAAACCCTGATCCCTGCTCTGAAGGGCTTCCCCAGCGAGACAGAACTCACTCACTGGGAACTGGCCGTTTCCCTCCAGTAATCACCAAGACGCTGCGTACAGGAGCTCGTCTGCTGTCAGCCCAGGACGGGCAGAGACAGAAAGCTTCTTGCTGTGGTACTGAATCGCACGCAGTTGTCTTTCCTTTAGCGCCCACGTGCGCGTGGAGAGCCCCGTCGTCAGGCAGTGCCTTGTCTCGGCAGCAGAGCTCGGCAGATTCCCTTGCAGGAGGGTGATGCCTCGTCCTTGCAGTGTTGGAAGTGAAGGGCAGCCAGCCAGCCGCCTTCTGCAGAAGGGGAGCTGGGTCTCATGGCTCTGCCTCTCCCCATTTACTCTCTTTCTTCACTGTCATTGAACCGTTTTTGCCTGGCTACAGGCACCTTGAAAACCAGCCGGGTCCGTAGAAGGCAGAGCCCTCCTTTCTAAAGGAGCGGGGAAGGAGAAATGGAGCAGTGGTAGACGCTAAAAGAGGCTGCTGGGACGCATCTGGCAGCTGCATCTCTGTTGTGAACAGCAACAAGAAATCTGACAAGTTACATTCTAGCTGAAAATGCCTCTTTTCCCTCTTCTCATCTCCCTGTTTATCCCCGTTAAGCTTCTGTTGCCTCCCATGTGTGCATCCTGAGGGGGTGAGCCACATGGGACAGTAAACAGGTGGGTTTTTTGCAGTGTGTTAGTTGTACCATTGGTGCTTGGTGCTTTTGCCCGTTGCAGAAATGAATGCCCGTCCTTTCCCTGTTTATGCATTTCCCTCTGCCCGTCAGTCCTCACTACTCAATAATCTACCAAAGGAGTGGCTTTCCTAGTGTACAGGTATTAAAGCTGTGTGATTTTTGAGAAATCCAGTGCAGTATTGACACAGTATCTGTCTCTCTCTTTCTCTCTCTCTCTTTTTCTCTCTGTCTGTCCTTCTCTTTTTCTTAAAATGCTGAGATTTCAGTGCTCGGACCCTCAGTGCTGGTATTCTCCCCTCCCCCTTTCAAGTCTCTCCCCCTCTCCCCTTAGATACAAGGGTACCACTCCAAAATGCTGCAGTGTTGATAATGTCTTTCTGAAGTGGCCAGCTGTGGCTCTTCTAACTTTGCTGCCAACAATAGCCAAAAGACATACCCCAGCCCCAATGCTCTATTTAAAGAAAAAAAAAAAAAAAAAAAAAGGAAGAAAACAGGCTTGTTCTATTTAAAAAGAGCAAGAGAGAAGGAATAGTATTTGAAATGAGGTGTTCCCATCCCACCTCCCTCCTGCCTAGGACTAAAAGGTGATAATCACTACTAATTACAGGATTTTCCTTCATGAATAGGAGTTTGAGTTTCAGGATTTAGATGCAATTAAAAAGGGATTTATACACCATTGGTTTTTATTATTTTATTTTCTCTTTTATAAAATATTTCTAACATGTCCAAACTGCACGGCTGCTGCTAGAATCTCTTGTGATCTGAGAAGGTTTTAAGTTCAAATTCTTCCTTAAGAGCCAATAAAAAAAAATAATAATATCAACAGCAATAAACTAAAGCTAAATTGCATGTAGTCATGATAGGCTGGAAAGACATTGGGTGAGGAAACAGAGACTTGATCCCTGGCTAAAAGAGCTCATATGGTTTGCTAGAAGTTGCGGGCATGGTCTTGAAATTATTGATTAAGGGCTTGCCTTGTTCATTACTACAGATCAGATCGTGCCATGGTCCAAAATAACAAGAACCTGCTAACGGAATTTCTAAGGTCAAATGCAGAAATATCTTTGTGGAGACCCACAAAAGCAGACCAGAAGTAGGTGGGATGATTTCTGCCACCAGCCTAGGGTGTATGAACGT